CAAGTACACATAGGTATTACAATTCCTAACAACATTAAGTTGGTCGAAATACAAACCAGGTTGACCTGCCCGTCAACGGCGTGTGGTTAGATTCTGCAATACAATGCCTAATACAATGATAAAAGTACAACATTAACAATTCGACTACACCGGATGACCAGCTTACCCCAGTGCGACTGCCAACGCAACTAAAAGGCATTATAAATGCGACGCGCGTGACATTTGCCAGTAGTTCTTTATCGCTACCGCTACCCTATTAGCCTCATTCCATGAGCTTGTCCCTGTTGTTGATCTCGGGGTAGTCGCTTGATAGCAAGCGCTTCGAGCAATCGGTAATGAGCACCACCAACAAGAAGCACCCCTGCCCTGTTACTGTGATACACCGCACGAAGGAAGCCCCATTGGAAAGAAAATTGCTCGAAGTGCTTGCCCAAGCGGCTATCCCCCGAGATCAACAACAGGGACAAGCTGAATGAGGCTAATAGGGTAGCGGTAGCGATAAAGAACTACTGGCAAATGTCACGCGCGTCGCATTTCTAATGACTTTTAGTTGCGTTGGCAGTTGCGCTGGGGTAAGCTGGTCATCCGTTGTAGTCGAATTGTTAATGTTGTACTTTTATCATTGTATTAGGCATTGTATTGCAGAATCTAACCACACGCCGTTGACGGGAAGTCAACCTGGTTTGTATTTCGACCAACTTAATGTTGTTAGAAATTGTAATACTATTGTACTTGATTACATATTTAAGGTCTGAGGAAGCTGTTAACACAGCGAAAGCTTGTCAATAAAGGTGTTTTTCGAACGAGTTCTCTTTGCCAACTTTTGGAAAAAGACTGTAGATAGCGTTGTTCAATTACCAACCAATAGTCGCCAAATGATTCATCACGGAAGAAAAAAGCAGAAAATAATCATGGAGAACCTGTGTGAGGACCTGGCAGCCTATGTATTAGAGTTTCCCGAACCTGTTGGTTTCATGTCAGCAAAGGTAAGTCCTGCCGCCTCTGCCCTGCTCACTATTCTTTACTCTGCGACACCCAGTACTAACACCATTTACCACTGAAAAAAACGTGGAAACTGAACCCGTGATAGGAAATAGCTTTTGAGTTTCGGTGGACGAGACAACTGAGGAGGCATCTGAATCAACACGTATAAGGCCGCAGCGCCTTCGTTACCTACTGTGAAGCCGCGAAGGTGGGATAATCTTAGCGACTAAGGACCAGGCTGCTTGAAGAAGGAATGACGTCTAGAATAGGCTGACTGCCTTAAACATTAAACAAATTCACTGTCGCTGCCCGAGTTTTTGATATCCAAAAACGGGTCTAGAATAGCATCGATGTCCATCGATGTGCTTCTGGGTCATTAAGTACTGTGTAGCTGATCGGGTACAACTTTGAAGTTACAGGAAACGTCCTGATTGCAATATGATTCAACCTTTATATTATATTTATTATTATATTATATTGCATTATGTTATATACCTATCTCGATATCTATCTAACTTACAAATTAATACTGGCATCATTTTGAAAAGATCATGTTGTTCATATCATTGTTCGCGACATCAACAAGAGTTTACAAAAATGCACCACCGAGTGCCCCCCTCCCCTCCTCCCCCCGCTCACCCCCCTACGCCGTAAAATGGTGCCACAATAGAAGGCGAGGGGAAGTTTGTGCAGTCGCTCTTTTGTCTGAATCGATTTCGCTCAAGTGGTGTTACGAATCCACGTTGTCAATGACGATACTATTTCCATCACACCGAATGAATTAGAATTGTGTTGATTTGGTCATAAATGTTCGGAGATTCTTACAT